ATTGTCAAAGGTTAATAATGAAATTTTTTAATTTATAATTTTTTTAAAAATTACAAATTTTTAGCTTATAAGTAACTATAAATTATTTATTATTTAATTAAAAAATAAAATTATTATAATATATAATATATACTTATAAAATTAATTAAAAAAAATTTTTTTAAAAAATTTTAATCTTTCATAAAAGTAAATTAAAAGAGAATTTATAGTAAATAAATAGGCAAATTTATTTATGAACTTCTACAATCTAAGGGATAAAGAAATTTAAATTTTATTTTTTGATATATTTTTATAAATTAATATTATAAATTTATAAATTTAAAATTTTTTTTAAAATATAATTATTATAAATTATTTATAAAATTTTTAATTTTAAAATAATTTATTAAAATAATTCTAAATTTATAATTATAAAATTTGATTATAAAATTATTTAATAATAAAAATATAATTTAAAACTTTATTTTTACTAAATAATCTAAAATATACATATTAAAATATTATTTAAAATCTATTTATTATTATATAAAAATTTAAATTAAATTATTATATAATTTACTAATTATATATAGAATTTGTATGATTGACATTTAATGATATTATTATATTTTAATATTTTTTTATTATTTTATTTATTTAAAATTTTATTATAATTAATATTATATAAGATTATTTTTTTAAAAAAAATAAATAAATAAATAATAAATTGTTTTGTCCAAAACCGTACGCGTGATCTGACCAATAAGATGTATTGTTATGGTTACCCCATTAAGAGTTGTTTTTCTGTGATACAATACATCCCGTTACCTATATAATAAAGCTATAGAATTTTTAATTGCAAAATTTACATCCTTATCTTTATAACGAGATAGAATACCTTCCCTAAGATCTTTAAGAGTAAAAAAAATCCTTTTTTTTTTTTTAATAATCCTTTTTCCTCTTTCTAGAAATGACCCATACTAAAGATAAAAGTTCGGGTATAATTTTATTTGTGTTTTATTTATGTTTTATTTATTAAAAGACCAACAAAATTATATGTATATCGTCTCGTCTATTTTTTTGAAGTTCGAAAACAATTCGATTTAAAGGAGTCATTAAACACATCGAATTACGAAAAGGAAGATAAATCTTTTGATCATGTAAGAAAAATAAATTCAAAATAATTTGCTTGTATTTGTCAGGAAAAAAAAAAAAAAAAATAAAGATAAAAAAATAACAATCATTCATCTCTCTTGATATTAAAAAGAACGAAAAGGATATTGGATCCAGTGTTAGAGATAAGCCAATCTATATATCAAAGCCAACGACAGAAGAATCATTAATTAGAAAGTACATTTATGAAGAGGATGACGAAACCAGATCTTGCGTAACTTCCCGTCACCGACATCGAAAGATTTTAAATAAAAGTCAGCAACATCGAAAGATTACAAAGAAAAATGATGATCACTTGCTTTTGCGAACTCGAAAGAAAGCTGTTAAAAAAATTAAAAAAAGAATTGTCAATAGGAAAATTTTTTTTTGTGATGATTCAGGTTGTGGAAGAAGCTACGTGAAAGCACAAAGTTTGGTTATTCATAAAAGAACACATACTGGGGAGAAACCGTACGTCTGTACCATAAAGGATTGCGGAAAGAGGTACAGTCGCGTGGATTCTTTGAAAGATCATGTCATGACACATGATGGAAAACTTTTTATATGTGATATACCAGGTTGTGACAAAAGTTATTTCTATTCTTCTCATTATTTAAGACACAAGAAAGTACATGTTACGGAGAAAGTTCAAGGAAAGATTGTGAAGCATAAGTGTCTCGCTCCTAATTGTGGAAAAGAATATGTATTTGCCAAAGGTTTGAAAAAACACATGTATATTCATTCGACAGAAAGGTTCGAATGCGATCATCCAGGATGTGCAAGGCAATTCACATATCCCAAAGAATTTAAAAGACATAAGAAGACTCATAATTAATCGGTCATCCAATTTAGCGGATCATAAAAGAATTCATTCGAATGAGGGGCATTTTTTTGTAAGATTGATCAGATTTAAAAGAGCAATTTAATTTTTAATGTATCAAATTTAATTTTTTTATTTTTTATTATTATTATTATATTATTATTATTAGATTAATTGTGTTCATACAAGACATAAAAAAGCGAACGTTAATAAGTAACAATGTACATCGGCATGGGTGGATATTAATCTAAATATCTAAATATGTAGCCTTTTTTTTCCTTTTTTTTTTTTAGATCATTTCATTTTATTTTTTATATTTTTTATCATAAATAAAGAAAGTTGGTCCTTTTGACTTTTTAAATGATTATTATTGTTTGCGCAGTTAGTATTTTATAACTATAATTAATTTATCACGCGCATTTTTAATATTGATGCATATTTCCTCTTTAAATATTATTATTTTACCATCCCAAGTTTCTTTGTAAATTTGTTATTGAGGAAGGAAATTTTGCTGTTGCTGTTGCTGTTGAAATAAATTTTGTTCGATAGATGATTTAAAGTTTAACTGTGAAAGTTCAACGTCATGTATTATTTATTAATTAATTCCTCCAAGTTTCTTTTTTTAAAAAAAAAAAAAAAAAAAAAAACACGCGTTGTTTACATACGGTAAGTAATAAGTTGCGATCTATAGTACCCGGTATTTTACATTCTAACAAAATTTTCAGGGTACTAAATATATTAAAGTGTTAATTTATATTATACCGCAAGATACTTTACATTCTAAGGGGTCATTATACACAGGCGTGTTATCTTCTTGACCTGCATATATTGTATTACATTAAGATAGGTAATTTTTTGCTACACAGGCGCGCTTTACTATTTTTTTTTTTGTTTTTTTTGTTTTTTTTTTTATACTCCCTACGTTTGCATTCTAAGGGGTAAAACGCGCTTTACCATTTTTTTTTTTGTTTTTTTTTATACTCCCTAAACTTATTTTTTGCTGTCATTATTGGAAAATTTGCATACCTATTTTTACATTCTAAGGGTGGTAGAACGCGCTTTACTATTTTTATTTTTGTTTTTTTTTGTATTTTTTTATACTCCCTAAACTTTATTGTTTACATTCTAAGGGGTAAAACGCGCTTTGCTATTTTTTTTTTTGTTTTTTTGTTTTTTTTTTATACTCCCCAAACTTATTGTTTGCTGCCATTATTGGAAAATTTGCATACCTTTTTACCTATCATCGTAACAAAGACTTACATTCTAAGGGGTTAGTACGCGCTTAACTATTTTTTTTTTTTTGTTTTTTTTTTATACTCCCTAAAAACTTATTGCTTGCTGCCATTATTGGAAAATTTGCATACCTTCGTATCTATTATCGTAACAATCAATCGTAACGAATTTCCCCGACGATCTCGTAACAACGGAATATTACCCAATAAAAATAAATATAAAAAGCAAGCTGTTTGTTTTTTTTTTCTTTTTTTTTTTTTCACGCTTCGTTATTTTTTTTTTTGGTAAACCTTTTCTTTAAAAAAAAAACTTTTCTAAAAACTATTTTTTTTTAAATTTTAAACATGCCCCCTCGACGCACCAAGAAAGCACGCACAAAGAAATCGTCTCCCGCTCCACGCACCACCAAGAAAACACGCACGAAAAAAACGGCTCCACCAGCCAAGGAAGCAACCCCGCCTCCACCACCTCCACCACCACCTCCTCCACGCGTCATGAATTCCTTTGAGCGTTTTTGCTCAATTTTGTACGATTACGAAAGTCAAAAGAAGGAAAATAAGAGACTAGGGATAACCGAACCTGTAATATCTCGAATTTGTGATATGAGCTTTGATTTCGCCGACGCTCCCCCACCAATCCCAAGAGGACCTTTAACACCCCCATCAGTCATAATGCATAAACCAAATGTATTCCTACGTCTCATACAAGAACGTAAAGAACGAGAACGTAAAGAACGAGAACGTAAAGAACGAGAACGTGAAGAACGAGAACGTGAAGAACGAGAACGTGAAGAACGTGAAATGCAAAATCAAGCATCTTCGAGCACTTCAACAATCAGTTACGAAAAACAAAATGAATTCAAAGGTTTCAAACGTCAACCTGTTGAAGACCAAGAAAATATTAATCATGACAGTCCTCAACCTTCTTCGAGCACTTCAACAATCAGTAACGATAAACCAAATGTATTCAAAGGTCTCAAACGTCAACCTGTTGAAGATCAATATATTTATAGCCATGACAGTCCTCATCCTTCTTCGAGCACTTCAACAATCAGTAACGATACAGTTACTGATGACATCAGGTTGTTGGATGTAAGTGGCGACGATGTGGAGACAATCGATAAAGTTCCGATCAAAATGGAAAAGATCGAGGTATAATAATATATTTATTTATTCATACAATTGTAAAGTTTTCTTGCCACTATATTTATTTGCGAAATTATCCTTTTTAGAACGTCAACGATCCAATTATAATTATCGATGATGATGACGTTGAAATGATGGGCGACAACGTGGAGACGATTGATAACATTCCTATCAAAACCGAGAAGATCGAGGTGAATATCAAATTGGAGAACATTCCTATCAAGATGGAAACGCCATCTATTGGACCATGTCACCATCCAAAGCACGTGGAGTACGAAGAATTAGGCCTCACAAAAAACTCCTTCGTAAGAATCACAAAAAATCTTGCCAAGGTAGTTGGGATTGACCGAGGCTTGATGATTTGCCGAGGATGCGTGAAGCAAACTCATCACGACACTGAGGTATAATAATATATTTATTTTTACAATTGTGAAGTTCCTTGCCACTAGATTTATTTGTGAATTATCCTTTTTAGTATACCTCCCATCAGGATTATATTTCTCCAAAGAAAGCGAGAAAAGATAAGATGTTGAAGAACCTAAAGATTGATATGTTTGGGTTTGGGACGAATAATATTCCTTCACGGCGAAAATGGATCATAATTGATTAATGAAAAACATATCATTGTATATATTGTAAATATGAATTTTTGGGAAAAAACGTACACTTTCTTTTTCTTCGCTTTTAGCGTACTCTTTTTTTACTTTTTTAGAATTACTTTTTTTTTCGCTTTAAACGTACTCTTTTTTACTTTTTCTATTGTTATATAAATAAATTTGTTTTTAGAATCATGTGAAAATTATATATTACCCTAAATGTGCATTTATGATGCAAAGTTAGAGTTATTTTTGAATGCCGTTTAAATTCATAAACTCCATTACGAATTAGTATTCAAATCCAATACAATAAATTTGTAACTAATGAATCAAGCCTTATGCTATTAGATCATAGAATAACTAAAGGAAATGTTATCCTCACTCAATGGTGCTTTAAAAGATATAATTTCCATATCTTTAATAAATCAACGTCTAATAACGAGATAAAAGATTTAAAGAATTTTCTAACAGATAAGAATCACGTGCTAAACATAAGATTTTTTTTTTAGGATGCGATTGGTTGATAATTTTTATAATTTTGTGTAAAATTTAAATTGCTTCATGTAGTCATCAAAACTACTTTTTTTTTAACTTGTAGTTGAAAAAATGTTGAAACATATTACTCAAGCTTTACGCGCATTATTTTATGGTTCAGCTTTATTCAGGTTTGATAATCTTCTAAAAAAAAAAAGAAAATATTATCATCTTTACGTGAATGTGAGCAGGTCTTAATGAATTTTATATTTTATGATTTTGTAGTTTCGCTATTAGTATTAACATTGTTCAAATATGTTCAATGTTATTGATACCATTTTCAAGAAAACTAGTATGGAAGATTAATTCTCGAGGCGCTCAAAGCATGTGGTGGGTCATGCAAGTATGAAAACCTTCCTTTTTTTTTTTTTTTTTTAAAAAAAAAAAAGTTTTTCCCAGCTTTAACCTCAACTGAATTTTATTGGTATTGGATTGTATTAGTATATATTCGAAAAGAGGCATAAAGGAAGTATTACATTTTCAGGTGATAAAATTCCGTCAGACGAAAGTGCTATAGTGATAAGTAATCATAAAAGCTTTACGGATTTTTACATGTTACACTCACTTGCCATTCGAAGAAACATGTTGCCTCATGTTAAATATTTTGCCAAAGATTCTTTGAAATATGTACGTATAAATTTTCTAGTTATAGTGTTAAATCATTTAAATTAAATATTTAAAATTATCCATACAGATTCCTTTTTTTGGGTTTGGTATGTGGGTAAGTCAAATCATTTTATTATTTAATATGAATATATGAATATATGCAATTGATTTTTAATTTATTCAAAATTTACATTATTAGCTCATGGGAATGATTTTCATTAAACGAAATTGGACTCAGGTAATATATATACACTTGAAATGAAATTTCCATTTTATGGTATAACATAAAAGAAATTTTTTTTTTTTTCATCAATAATAATTTCATGAACTTTTTAAACAAATAAATATTTTTAGGACGAAGGGCAATTAAAGAAAATATTTAGAGCTATTAAAAAATATGCTGCACCTATTTGGGTAGTTAATTTCTTGGAAGGAACTAGATTTACTCAAAAGAAATTACAAGAGGTAAGTAAATAAATAATTTAGAAAAGTTTTATTAGATTTTAGATGAATCATTATTTAAGTTTCTTCTCTTTTTGATTTATTAGAGCCAAGCGTTTGCTAGGGAACGTGGATTACCTATTTTACAAAACCTCTTGTTACCAAGAACTAAAGGTTTTGTTGCATGTGTACGCCAACTAAAGAATACTCATGTGAAATACGTATATGGTAACAACCTTTAAATCTGACTTTTCAATTAAAAAAAAAATTTTTTTTTTTTCATTTCTTTTCAAAAACTTTTTAATTAAAATTTATCTTTCTCTCGTGATAAAGACTTCACAATTGCATACCAACATATTCGACAAGGATTACAGTATCCACCAAATTTAGTGCAAATACATGCATTACCGCTTATTACACCCCCTTGGTCATTTCACGTACATATAAGAAGATATGCTATTGAAGATTTACCTAGTGATGAAAAAAATTTGGTAGAATGGGTTAAAAATATTTTTGTTGAAAAGGATGCTATTTTAGAAGATATGAAAGTAAAATGGACCAAAAGTGATAAGTTGGGTTCAATTCGTTCTGAAAGATATTTTAATTAACCTTGAAGGGGATGAACTTTTTTTTTTTTTTTATAGAAAATTTTATTTATAGAAAGTTTAATATTGTTAGAATTCTAAATTAAATGTAGAAAAAATTTTTAAATAATTGTAATTTAAAGACTTAATAAATAAGGAAATGTTTAATCTTATAGTCGATCACGTCATATTTATGACTGATCGGAAAAAAAAAAAGTGAATATTCATTTTCTATTTTTATTTATTTATTTATATATTATATAAAATTTTAATGTCTTTTATCAGACCAAAAATGTTGTATCTACATTATTGGCAAAGTCCCATATAATTATTTTTTGGTCCTGAGAACAGCTTACAATTTTAGTAGAATTGAATTGAAGTTTGAAAACTCTATTTTTAATATATATAAGGAAAGGTTTGTCAATAAAATTTAACAAAAATATTTCAATATGAAAATTTAAAATATTTTACCTGCTAGTATGACCATGAATTAAATTAGACAACAATTCTCCTGTTTTAGGATCCCAAACTTTAAGGGTTTCGTCATAACTCCCGCTAACGATTTTATTTTTATCAAACTGTAAAGTTCTGACAAGATCGGTATGTCCAACAAGAGTGGATGAACAAGCTCCGGTATGAACATCAAAAACTTTTATAGTTTTATCACTTGATCCGGAAACAATAATGTTTCCGTCAAATTGAATACAGGCAATTCCACGCGAATGACCATCAAAAGTACGAAGACATTGTCCAGTTGAAAGAGACCATAATTTAATCGTACGATCTCCTGATGCTGAAATTACATATCCATCTTTAAATTGTACAGCATTAACCGCTGCACGATGTCCATTTAACACTCGAAGACACGTCCCTATTTCACGATCCCAGATTCTTACCGTACGGTCTTTTGAACAACTTATAATAAGATTATCATCAAATCGTAAATTTAAAACGCTTTCACTATGACCTTCCAATGTACGTATAATTTCTCCTGTAACTAAATCCCAAATTATAATAGTCGTATCGCTGCTTCCACTAACAATTACTTTATCATCATATTGTAAACATAAAACGGATTGTTTATGTCCACGATATGTTTTAACACAATGTCCAGTTTTAATATCCCAAATTTTGATCGTATCGTCACGACTTCCGCTTATAATCTTGTGTTCGTCAAACTGAATACAATATATACTTTCATTGTGCCCCGGTAATTCCCGAATCGAATAAATACCCTTACGCCAATGATGCTCAATTAATGATCTTTGATGAAATAAGTGTTTCCAATTAATTACGGGTTGCCCCGATTCATTTTGGTGATTAGGAAGATTATATGGAATATAAACAGACGGGAAGAAGGTGAAATGAGCGGGAACGGGTGACGATTGTATAGACGAAGTCGAATGGTGTAACGAACACGGTATGTTCGTGGATCGTGGGGAAACTCTTGATTTTGAAAATGATGTATCCGAAATTGGGGCAGAAATAGTTGATAAAGATGTCGACGGAATGGCTGAGGGTATATTTATACTACTTTGACTAATAGTTGTTCTTGAATGTGGTAATACATCATCCCATACATCTAAATTCTGTGATAATTCTTGTTGCTGAGAATTGCTTCCATCGTTCGATTTTGAAAATGAATTCACCTGATTTGTTGAAGGGTAACGTAAATCTAAAGATATTAAAAGGAAGGATTAACGTAAATGTGTTTTCCTTGGAGGAAGTAATAAAATGTAATAACTCACCTTCACTATAGTATTGCGAATTTAAGTCATCTTGATCACTTACAATATGATCGTCGTGATCATCATCCAATTCATCATCGTCCATCATTGATTGATCAGGATTTTTTCCTTGATTAAATGGTGAATCAGACATAGTTGGTGTCGGTAGTTGATAACTTGATGTGTACAATTCAATTAATTTTGTATTTACGGTCCAACCGTTTCTAAAGAATAAGTTTCTCCATAAAGATCCATCAGAACTAACTTTTCTCCATTGTTTAGATACACGTGCGGCTCGTCCAAGAGTTTGTGCATTCAGGAAGGAAAGAATATGAATTGCCAATTCATAAGGCAATAACTATTTTTTTTTTTTTTTTTTTTTTAAATTGGATCTTTTTATAAAAAAGGAATTTGAAATGTAAAAGATGAAAAATTTAAAAGACGTACGGCCAAAAAGTCTCGATGAAATAAAGGAGATAAACGAATGTGTAACTGAGCAATTTTTGGAGTTGGAAGCGTCAAAAGAAGCTGAAATGCAAATTCTGGATTTTATATACAAAGGAATTAATGTTAAAAACTCTTTTTCAAATTATTTATCAAGCAAGCAATAAAAGTCTCGATGATGTAATAATAATAATAATAATCATAAGAGTAATAAATTTTTTTCGATAATTTTTCTTCCTGAATCAGGCGCATTCAGTACAGCAGATCAATAGATAAAGGCTCAAGACCTATAGCTTTCTTGATTAGCAGAAGAGTAAAGAAAAATTCAACACAATATAAAAGAAATATAAATCTTACCAGCTCTTTGTTCTTCACTTAGAGAAGTTATCCAAGGAGGAATTTCAATTTCATGTTTTACTTCTTCATAACCGTCGTTGTATCCTTCATCGGTAGGTGATTCTAAAGTAGTAGTAATAATTTCTTCAATAACGTTTTCCGAAGGGTGCTTTTTAATACGCATTTGAAAAAGAATATTAATTAGTGTGAATAGAAATCGAAAAAAAGTTGGGAGGATTATATGTATGATCGAATTGAGAATTGAACATTACATAAATGGCAAGTTAATGTTATTTTTTGAACTACCAAATAATAATTTGTATCGATAAAATATTGTGC